ATATTTGAAAGGTTATTTTTCTTTATTAACATGCTTGAGCTGAGAAAGACTTTAAAACTGAAGCAGCCAGGCATGGTGGCCTATACCTGTATCCCAGCTACTTGGGAAAACTGCTTGAGCCCAGAAGTATCGAGATCAGCTCAGGCAAGATAGGGAGACCCCTGTCTCTAAAGAAATAAAGAAAATTTAAAAAAATGAAGAAATATAAGTACTTGCAAATTCAGTCATGAGACAGTATTTCTAAATAATTATGTATTTTTTGAGACAGTCTCACTCTGTTGCCCAGGCTGGATTTCAGTGGCACGATCTTGGCTCACTGCAACCTCTGCCTCCTGGGTCCAAGCAATTATCTTGTCTCAGCCTCCCAAGTAGCTGAGATTACAGGCATGTGCCACTACACCCGGCTAATTTTTGTGTTTTTAGTAGAGATGGGTTTTCACCATGTTGGACAGGGTGGTCTCGAACTCTTGACCTCAAGTGATCCATCCACCTCGGCCTCCCAAAGTGTTGGGATTACAGGCGTGAGCCACCGTGCCCAGCTAATTCTAGGGAAAAGAAACTGGTATTTTGCCAGCAGCCAGCTTACAGGAAGTAGTTGCCAACAGTATATCCAAGTCAGTTTTCTATACTTGTTAATCTTACGTAAAATTATTGCTGCTGACTTTAGCTATACATTTGCAAGACAAAATTTCAAGGTGTTTTTAAATGTAGACTGTTTAAGAAATGTGAAGGCTGGCCAGGCACAGTGGCTCACGTCTGTAATCCCAGCACTTTGGGAGGGGATGGATCACCTAAGGTCAGAAGCTCGAGACTAGCCTGGCCAACATGGTAAAACCTTGTCTCTACTAAAAATACAAAAATTAGCTGGATGTGGTGGCGGACCACCTGTAATCCCAGCTACTCGGGAGGCTGAGGCAGGAGAAATCACTTGGACCTGGTAGGCAGAGGTTGCAGTGAGCCAAGACCGCACCACTGCACTCCAGCCAGGGTGACAATAGCAAAACTCCATCAACAAAAATAAAAAATAAAAACAACAAAAACCTGAAAGCTTCATAAATACTTGATCTTCAGTTAGCTAAGTAGGCAGAGCTTAGGAAAATTAGCATCTGCAAGCTGAAAAAATTTAAACCACATTTCAAAATACACAATCCTCTAATCTGCTAATTATGAGTTGGCAAGTTAATTCCTACGTACAAAGTCATTTTTATCAACCTCCATTCTGTTAGCAGTTTTACATTCTAATTATTTTTATAGAGATCTTTTCGATATAAACTGTTTGCAACAGATGTTTTGGAGCCCCTGCCATATGTCAGGAAATGTACAAGTTACTAAGGCTACACAGAAGAATCAAGACAGTCCCTCCCTGTCTTATCCGTCCACCAGATAAATAGGCACACTGTGCCACCTGGCACTTTAGATAAGGCATTCAGTGAGTCAGGAAGGATTCCTGCCCTCCTGGAGCAAATAAGCAGACAGTGTCCAAGATGGTAGTGCTGTTATACAAGTTGGAATATATGACCAGGACCACAGGGCACATCAACTGCTTTGAGGGAAATAGGAGAGAGCTTTACTAAGGTGACATTTCAGTTACTAAGCATGACTGGGAGTTCAGCCAAAGAAAAACAAACACCTTGAGCAAAGGCAGACTGCAGAAGGGCTTGACTGATCCAGAGGAACAAGTATGGCAGGAAGTAGGATCCACGGGGTAAGTGGAAGAAGTCTGGGAAGGTAGAGTGAGCCCAGATTGTGAGCGCTCTTATATGCCAGCATTTCGCTTAGATTTTATCACTACCCAGAGGATTTTAAGCAAGAGAGTGGCAATTATTTTTTTTAAAAGCTATAACTGGTATCAGTATGGAGAAGGGCTGGAAAGGAGATGGTGGCAGGAATCATACAGATCTTATAAGACTAAAAACCTTTGCCTGGCCGGGGTGCAGTGACACATCTGTCATCCCATGGGAGGCCTAGGTGGGAGGATCACTTGAGGTCAGGAGTTCAAAAGCAGCCTAGCCAACATGGCAAAACCCCCATCTCTACGAAAAATACAAAAACATTAGCCAGGCATGGTGGTGGGCACCTGTAATCCCAGCTACTTGGGAGGCTGAGGCAAAAGAATCGCTTGAACCTAAGAGGCGGAGATTGCAGTGAGCTGAGATTGTGCCACTGCACTCCAGCCGGGGCCACAGTGTGAGACTTCATCTTAAAAAACAAAAAAATCCCACAAAAACCTGTGCCTACTGTAAAAGTGCTACATTAAACAAAACCCACTAAATTCTCAGGGACATTAAACAACTTTATATTCGTTTTGGAATAACTGCAGCTTTGACCACTGAAGATATATGGAAATAGCATGGCTGCAGAAGTGCTATTCAAAGATTGCCATAAACTGCATTATCACTTATCAAACAGTAAAATAGGATGTCCTAAGTTCCAATAGATTGTTTTTTCTTTTTTCTTTTGGAGATAAGAGTCTCGCTCTGTTGCCCAGGCTGGAGTACAGTGGAGTGTACTGGCACAATCACAGCTCACTGCAACCTCCACCTCCAACCAATTCTCCTGCCTCAGCCTCCCGAGTAACTGGGCCTATAGGTGTATGCCACCACGCCTGGCTAATTTTTTGTATGTTAGTAGAAATGGGGTTTCACCGTGTTGCTCAGGCTAGTCTCAAACTCCTGAGCTCAGGCAATCCGCACACCTCAGCCTCCCAAAGTGCGGTGACTACAAGTGTGAGCCACCCCGCCTGGCCCCAATAGATTGCTTATAAGTAATTTCAATAAAATGAATTTGCTATGCAATATAATCTTAGCAAAGCTGCTGTGACCTTCAAAACTGTGTCATCAGCAGCACTGATCAAACAGTTCCAGTTCTGAGCAGTAATACAGAGGGACATTCGGTAGTTTCCTAAGAAAATTAGATTTTCACTGTCTTAATTTAAATGTTAATAGGTTTGCTTTTAGGATATTTTGACTGTCAGATAAAAATTTAGTGTAATGTTTGCTTAGTATAAACATCAAGCAAGGCTTTTGTGTCACTATTACAAAACAATTTTTAATCCGTACAGAGCCAACAGTTTTATTTAAAAAAAACAATTTTTAAAATTCCCATTAATCTTAGATCCCCATCCTTAATTCCTTTACATGTTAACATTTAAGATACCCACTAAGGGAACGAAAAGCTTAGGCAAAAAATATTCAAGTGTTCAATTTTGGCTTTGGAACTTCCTAATTCATGTATTTAAAATATTCCACTTATATGTAATACTGCTAGGACACACTATGGATAATCATTATTTAAGAACAGAAACTGAAAGATGTGGCTGAGTGCAGTGGCTCATGCCTGTAATCCTAGCACTCTGGTAGGTGGAGGTGGGTGGATCATGAGGTCAGGACTTCAAGACCAGCCTGGCCAACATGGTGAAACCCCTACACTAAAAATACAAAAATAGCTGGGTATGATGGCGGGCACCTATTAATCCTAGCTACTTGGGAGGCTGAGGCAGGAGAATCACCTGGACCTGGGCTGCAGAGGTTGCAGTGAGCTGAGACTGCACCACTGCACTCCAGCCCAGGCAACACAGTAAGACTCCATCTCAAAAAAAAGAAACTGAAAGATGGACACCTGGGCTTACTTCTCTCTCTCTCTCTCGCCTTCCCCCTCAATAACCGCACATTTTCCCAAGTAAATACTACTTTTGCACCAACCTGATAACCCTCATTTGCTGTCTCTCAAGGACTAGTTCTCTAGCAGTGGCTTTCCAACTATACCTGCTGTCCCCTAGTACAAATTACATTGTGACTTAGGACACATACATAATAAAACCAAAAGAAAAATGGAACAGTACTTACCCTTACTAAGTACAGTATACTTGTCAATTTTTAAAATGCTTATCATGACCCCCTAACGAACGTGCTGTCAGCCGCAACTGAAAACGACTCTTCATTTCCACTGGGTTAATGCCATAACTATGGTGCGCCTAAGACAGATGGCTGCTTTAATAATTTACTTGAACCTGGTTCTTAGCTGTAGTTATATGCAAGACAGTCCCATAACTCTGTTTCTAGTTACTGGCCATACGTTCTTCCTGATATTGCTGAAAAACTTATAACTGTTAAAGTTTATTATATTAAAGGTGCTCTAATATTTTCCTTTATATGGAAAAATATTATATGGCTTTAAACAGAATGTGTACTTGGAGATTTAACCATTTTTGTTTTTGTTTTGTTTTAGTCAAATATTGGAGATAATGTCAGCAGTGAGAGATGAGGATCCACTGGAATTAGCCAATACACTATATAACAATACTATTAAAGTATTTTATCCTGGAATATAATCAGCATATGTCTTCCACTCTCCATCATGTATGTAAAATTTCACAGTAAAACTTACTGATAGTTTCAATAAAGAAATTATCTGGAAGTTGTCACACCGTTCCCCACCATTCCCCTTCTTTTTCTCATAAAATCAGATCAGGATGTTTTTAAGTCATTGAATACTTTTATTGTTTAAAACAATAAAAAATAATACCTTATTTATTGTTTAAAACAATAAAAAAACTTTTGTAATATCTTCAAAACAATGAAAGGATAATTTTATGACAATACTGCAGACACAGAATGGCTAATAAACCAATTTTACATTAAAAAAATTAGCACATTCTGGTTTATATCAAAGTTTAGTTGCTAGTTTATTTCTCAAGCCTCAGTCTCTGAATCATGACTTTCAGACTCAGCTCAATTACACTGCTACTCAAGTTTCAAAAAAGTTCTTCAGTTGCTTCTGGCAAGCTAATTTTTTCTTTAGTTTTGAAATACTCTCTCAAGTTCTTTATCCTCTGGTCAAATTATTTATTTCCTTGACTTTAATGTGGTTTTCTGATTTGTATTTTTTATTCTAAAGAAAAACTGAGGTCCAAAGTTAGATACATTATATAATTGAAGAATCTTTGGCACAGTTGACGCACCACATGATCATTACATCTATTAAAAAGCTATTTGTTCAAATTTTGTCATAAAAATGTGAAAACATTTTATTCTATGTACAATAATGTACACAAATTTAAACAGGTCACCAAAGAGACCAGAAGTAATTCAAGAGGTATATTTACAGTAGCACATCACAGTAAACGGAAAACCATTCACAGATTCAACATTGATACTGTTTTTGTGCTTGGTTACACACTGAAGGTGAAGGATATTACTCCATTTTGGATGAACTGAATTTTAAACAAATACCTCAATGATTAATAAATGCTATTTTAATCAGTCAGTATCATCATTAAGTTCTTCAGCTGCTGTGCCTGTGTGCTGAATCACTCCATTTCTTTCTCTTTGAGCATCATCATCACAATCTGTACTGTCATCTTCATTCAATTCCCTGTCAGATTCAGCAGCAGCTTCTCTTACAGGTTCCTCTGGATTTTCATCGGGTGCAATAAATCCATTGTTGTTAGATACATTTGAGTTATCTTTGATATCATCTTCGTTGTATACTTTTTGATGGCACATTGGACAAGTATCTTGAATGTACAGCCATTTCCGAAGGCAAAGTGCATGGAAATAGTGATTACATGGTGTAATACGAGCAGATGTTGTAAACTCATGATAGCAGATTGCACATACATCATCTATTTCTTGTAAGCGCCTCCCTTTTATTTCAGGAAGTGAATTAATTTTCTTCACAGCAGTCCTACGATTCATGAATGTCTTCCAGCCATTTTTGGCTTGTAAGTAGATGTTAAAATATGCATGTAGGCACATCATAAAAGCCCGAATTTTACTTCCTGACTCAAACATCATGGTGTAAGCCCCATTTCCAAACATTACAACTCCAAATATAAATTCAATAATACTTCCTGTTGAACGAACGTAGTAGACATAATCGTCAAGCTTTTCCCAGAGGACATTATAGTAGCCGTCAATCATGAATAATGTATAAACAGTGAGAGAAACGATTACTTTTAAGCACAGTTCCACACAAAATGCTGTAACTGCAAACAACCATGTATTTAGTGCATAGTGATGCCAAAGAACATAACTGAGTATGACAGGAAGAATAAACAGGCAAGCAGAGACAAACAGCACAGGAAAATGTCTACGAAAAGATGACACATGAGAGGCACTGAGAGACATTAATACAGGGTCTGTCATTCCATGTATGAAATGCAGGACTGCAGTTAATAGAAGGCACATGTTTCTACTTAAGCGAATAAGTCTCTCTTCTGGTCTTAGCCCACTTAACCCAGTCTGAAGAGCCAAAATAAAAAATAAAACTGGTGCAACAAAGCCAAGCCGCCTGTCATCTTCCTCAGTTGATCCAATAAAGGCCAATATTCCAAGCCCCAAATAATGGGCTACTGAGGAAATTACAGCACTCATGCCCAGCACAGTTAGTGTAGAATCACATCCACTAATTATAAGATTGCAAATGAGGTCCCAAAAATCATCCCAAGAAATAAAGAAGGTATCAGTTTCATTTGCCATCCTTAAGATGTACATTAACACTGTAGCCTGAGCTGTAACTCTTGTTAGCCAAAACACTCGCAGTATGTCTGGGAAACGAATCCTCTTCCATGTGTCCTCCATCAATAACTGTAATCCATAAATTCGATACATGTGCCTCACTAAAAGATAAACATATCGTGTGGAATAATAAAACCACTTCAGTTTCACTGCCAGGACAAGCACTGTATTTAATGTGAGAATCAAGGAAGAGGTAAACACTAAAGTCTCTCTGATGTGTAATGGTAGCTCTGTGATTAAGCCTATTACAGGAACCAAGAGATCCAAAATGATTAATTGTGAATAGATGGAATGAATCTGGAGTAGTGTAATGTATCCAATTCCAAATGTTAGCTGTAGAACGATAACTGCCATCCATAGCGAGGGACCTTTTCGAGGAAGCAGCTCAATTCCAAAAGCTGATGTGTTGTAGCCACCATAGAAGTCAATGTGCAAAGCAGCATAGTAATTCACCAACACTGAAGTTGCAGCTAACAGAAAGGCTGAGCTGTACATGTAAAACTTGAAAAGTGATCGCTGGGACAAGATCAGAACAATACTGGATACAAATATACCTAAAAGAAAGAAAGGAAAAGTCATTTGAATGAAGTATCTTTAAGAATGTTTTCCCACTAATAGTTATGATATTCTTTCTTTAATTAGGAAATATGAGTATGTTCAGTACATTAAGCCTCAAGCCAATTTTGGTTTAAAGGGCAACGAAGGTTTTGTAAAGTCAGAGTTCAAGAGGACAGACCAAACATACTAAATTATTACTTTTTTTGAGACGGTGTCTTGCTCTGTCGCCAGGCTGGAGTGCAGTGGTGCATCTCGGCTCACTGCAACCTCCACCTCCCAGGTTCAAGCGGTTCTCCTGCCTCAGCCTCCCAAGTAGCTGGGATTACAAGTGCCTGCCACCACACCTGGCTAATTTTTGTATTTTTAGTAGAGATGGGGTTTCACCATGTTGGCTAGGATGGTAAATTCTTTACTTCCTTCCTTTCTTTATAAAATTTCCTTCCTTCCTAATTTCCAGATTATTTCAAGTAACACTGTATATGCCGAAGGCACAAAATTACTAAATTATCTTCAAGATTAATTTGTAAAAGAATATGTCCTTCATCATTTGATAATCATTAAGATAATTTAAAAAATTAAGAGCTAAAAATAACCCAAATGAAAACCATTTGTTCCCATTAAGTTTTTGATTGATTGATTGAGACGGAGTCTTGCTCTGTCACCCAGGTTGGAATGCACTAGCACAATCCCAACTCTCCGCCACCTCTGCCTCCCAGGCTCAAGCAATTCTGCCTCAGCCTCCCAAGTAACTAGGATTACAGGTACCTGCCACCACACCCAGCTAATTTTTGTATTTTTAGTAGAGAAACTACTGGTCTCTAACTCCTGAGCTCAACTGATCCACCCACCTTGGCCTCCCAAAGTGCGAGGATTACAGGCGTGAGCCACCATGCCCAGCCAAGTTTAGATTTTTGGTTTCAAGCATTCTTTAGGAAATCAAGTTCAAGTTTTATACTTTCACCTAATTCCTCCTTTTCTTCTAGCTAAGTCATACCAGCTCTTATTTTTCCTGCTCTTTAACTCTGAGCATTCTTCAAAGAGTCAAAAAATTCAGGGTTTTTTCCCTCCTACCTAGTTTCTTTCAGACTTACAAACATCCTCCAAGTTCCCTTTTTCCTGTACAATGCTGAATCTGTTTCTTAAAATAGTCCACCCTTTCTATTCTTCACATAACAAAAGTAACACTCGGAAAACCAAGACACGTTTTTAAAAAATGGTAATTCCCCTTCCCCCACTCCATAGACACCATCTTTCTTTTTACTCTAACAGAAATGCATATTTTAAGTAGGATTACAATAAACACGTTATTGTCCAACGTTTCAACAATGGGAATGGCATCTAAATACTCACCTAGTTTCACTCCTACATTACAACTGCAAATCTCCAAAGTTCTAAAACATAACTTGCCTTAAACTAGAATCGGCTTTTCCTTGTGATTTGATATTTCAGTTGAAGGTACCATTATTAACCTCTTAGAGGTACTCTCAACCCAACTCCACACACTCAAACTTTGCCAATTAGTTGCCAAATTCTTCTAACATCTCTATCTCCCTTTTCTGTGACACCAACCAATTAATGTCTCAAAAATAAAAAACAAAAAACCTCATCTTGTCTATGTCCATCTACAAGCCATCACCAAATTGCCTCGGCAGCTCTGAAATTGCTATCAACTAAAACCTACATTCCTGCTCCTGGCATTCGAGTATCCAGTTTGCTTTACAGTAATACTCCTCCTAACACACATACATCAATGCTCCAGACTTATGTTCCCCACATTCCTTTCTCCACTATAGGTACAGTGGCGTTTAGTGTATGATGTAGTGATGACCCCACCAACTTCCTAATCCCTGACTGTTCAAATCCTACCTACCCTGGAAACCCACTGTCTTTGATAGAAACTTCTTTCAGCATACCCACAGAACTTAGTGAAACACCTAACACTCATATGTCACCTGATACTGCAGTCTGTAGTTATCTAAGTATCATCTACCCTATTATACATGTGTCTGCAACAGAAAGCAAGGATCATACCTGTCCATCTATGGATCCTACAATAGTCTGTACAAAATAAGTACAATTAGTATTCATGGGGAAATGTCTGTCACATCCAGTTATTTTTAAAGGCAACTACAAAATATAACCTGCTTGAAAAATAAAATCTATGAAAAAGACAATGAGAAACCATATCCTGGAGTACAGAAAAAGTGACAAACTCCAAATTAAAAATCCGTCTATGGCCAGGTGTGGTGGCTCACACTTGTAATCCCAACACTTTGGGAGGCCGAGGCAGGTGCATCTTGAAGCCAGGAGTTCAAGACCATGTCAACATGATGAAACCCTGTCTCTTCTAAAAATATAAAAATTTGCCAGGCATGAAGGCACACGCCTGTACTCCCAGCTACTCAGGAGACTGTGGCAGGAGAATCCCTTGAACCTGGAAGGAGGAGGTTGCAATGAGCTGAGATGGCACCAACTGCACATCAGTGTGGGTGACAGGGAGACCCTGTCTCAAAATAAATAAATAAATAAATATTAAGCAATAAAATAAAAGTCCATCTATCCACCCTATTTCAGCAGGTAATCAAGACACTGCATATTATTACAGTGGACGCATTTCACAATCCATTGCACATAAAAGCAAGGGTTAGTTCCTCTTTTTTTTTGACACGGAGTCTCGCCCTGTCACTATCTCAGCTCCTTGCAACCTCCGCCTCCTGGGCATGCCACCATGCTGGCCAGGCTGATCTCAAACTCCTGACCTCGTGATCCTCGTGAGTCTCCCAAGTGCTGGGATTACAAGCATGAACTATTGCACCCGGCCAGGCTAGTTCCTTTAAGTGATGATTCTGCCCAGGGATTTAAAATGTATCCTGTGCCAAAGTGTGAAGTCATTTGTGAAAAAGAAAACAAAAGGACACAATGAAGTAGAAGATACATAAACCTCTGAATACAAACCACCTGATTCCCCAAGCAAATGGGCCACTAATAATCTCCCAAAGAGTTGTGAGCTTAACAGGCTCTTTTAACAGAAAACAGATTTTATTTTTTATTAGACACTTCCTCCATGGAAGGTAACAAGGAAATGGAATTAATTCAGCCTTCCAGATGCCATATGTAACCTTACGTACTCTACATGGAAACAACCTTATTTTTCCTGAGACAAAACTTTAAAAACTTTAAAACAAATCTTCTAAGTTGTTGAAGTTATAGAACAAAAAAATTCCTACCCAAAGTTTGCAGGCATAAGGGGTTCATAGATTTTTCTTTTATATTCATGTTCCTACCTATGGAACTTGGGAAGAATCTGCTCTCATTTTAAAAGCCAACATCCCAAGTAATGAGTCTCCAAGTAATAATCTTTCTCATGGCCTTTACAGAATATGATCAAAATTTCATTGCATTTTTATATTAGACATGAAATTCTTTCTTGGTATTTATACTGTAGGTCTAACAAAATATAAAAGTCCAGAGACAGGCCAGGCATGGTGGCTCACGCCTGTAATCCCAGCAATTTGTGAGGCCGAGGTGGGTGGATCATGAGGTCAGGAGTTCAAGACCAGCCTGTCCAAGATGTTGAAACCCCGTTTCTACTAAAAAATTAGCTGGGCGCTGTGGCAGGTGCCTGTAATCCCAGCTACTCAGGAAGCTGAGGCAGGAGAATCGCTTCCAGGGGCAGAGGTTGCAGTCAGCCGAGATCGTGTCATTGTATTCTAGCAGGCAACAGAGTGAGACTCTGTCTCAGAAAAAAATAAAGTTCAGAGACAGTTTCTCATTAGGATTTGGAAGTGACTTGGACAAGTAATCAAGGCTATGTCTAAATGCTGCTTTATAAAGAATTAAAACCTTGGGACACTAGAGAACAGAATTTACTGAAATCACAACTCAGAGAGATCTTGGTCCAGTTCTCCAGTGACTAAGAGAGTTTCAATAGAGTTTTCAAGGTAGTCAAAAAGAGGCAGGTATCCAAATCAATTCAGGAACTTTGAAACTATATGTGAACTCAACTCATGAAAGAGTTCAGGCCTTTTCAATTTGGATTACCAAAAACAAGCAAATAAAAACAAATGAAAAAATAAAAAAACTTACCATGTATGTTACATAAGAAAGTGTTTCTCTCTTTTATATGTAAAGTCCATTCATACCCTTACCCTCTTTTGGAAACTTGTGACTACAATCAGGGTACAAAACATAGTATTTACAATTCTCCAAGTGCCCTAAATACCTTTAAAACAAAAATGTGGAAAAACATTTTAATACCTGACAGAATATGGAAAAGCATAGAAATAAATGTATTTATTACCTTACTCCGAAGGGAGCCTTAAGCAATGAAATTTACAACAAAGTAGTGTTCTGAAATGTTGTCAATCTATTGGCATACTTGAAAAATCATAAAGAAAAAATTTCTCCGGGTGCAGTGGCTCACACCTATAATCCCAGCACTTTGGGAGGCCGAGGCGGGTGGATCACAAGGTCAAGAGATTGAGACCATACTGGTCAACAAGGTGAAACCCCGTCTCTCCTAAAAATACAAAAATTAGCTGGGCATGGTGGTGGGCTCCTGTAGTCCCAGCTACTCAGGAGGCTGAGGCAGGAGAATTGCTTGAACCCAGAAGGCGGAGGTTGCAGTGAGCCGAGATTGTGCCATTGCATTCCAGTCTGGGTAACAACAGCGAAACTCCATCTCAAAAAAAAAAAAAAAAAAAATTTCTGAGGCCAGTTGTGGTGGCTCACACCTATAATCCCAGCACTTTGGGAGACCGAGGCGGGTGGATCATGAGGTCAAGAGATCGAGACCATCCTGGTCAACAAGGTGAAACTCCATCTCTACTAAAAATACAAAAATTAGCTGGGCATGGTGGTGCGCACCTGTAGTCCCAGCTACTCGGGAGGCTGAGGCAGGAGAATTGCTTGAACCCAGAAGGCGGAGGTTGCGGTGAGCTGAGATTGTGCCATTGCACTCCAGTCTGGGTAACAACAGCAAAACTCCGTCTCAAAAAAAAAAAAAATTCTACTGGATTCTCATTTTAGGTAAAAAAAAAATTTTTTTTAAAAGTAGTAGAACTTAGAATACTTTTAGCAAGTTTTTCTAGTCTGTCTTTCCCATCTGTGATATCATAAAAAATACAGTAATATTTGGTCTTTGTCCCATTTTCTGACAAGGCTTCTAAAAATCCTTGGAATCTCTGGAGTGACTGTTTTGACAATAATCAGATGACTGGTACCCTAGATGGCTTCAGCATGGGTCTAGGTAGCCAGGAGAACCAACCCAATGATTAAGGATTATAACTTTCATTCCCACCCCAAGCCCTCACCTCTGGGAAGGGGAAAGAAGCTGAAGATAAGAGTCCATAAACCAATGCCCAGTGATCTAATCAATCATGCCTGTTTAATGAAGCTTCTATAAAAACCCAAAAGAACTCAGTTTTGTGAGCTCTCAGATAGCAGAACACTGAAGCTCCATGCCCCTTCTCCCCTTCTCTCCTTCTTTGCCTTGCCTTATACATCTCCTTCCATCTGGTCAATTTTGTGAGCTCTCAGATAGCAGAACACTGAAGCTCCATGCCCCTTCTCTCCTTTGCCTTGCCTTATACATCTCCTTCCATCTGGTCAATTTTGTGAGCTCTCAGATGGCAGAACACTGAAGCTCCATGCCCCTTCTCCCCTTCTCTCCTTTGCCTTGCCTTATACATCTCCTTCCATCTGGTCAATTCATTTGTGTCCTTTGTAACAGCCTTCATTAATAAGCCGTTAAATCTAAGTACAGTAGCTCCTCCTTACCAGAGGTTTCACTTTTTTTTTTTTAGTGATGGAGTCTCGCTCTGTTGCCCAGGCTGGAGTGCAATGGCACAATCTTTTGATTGATATAGGTTTTTAACTTCAATATCATTCAGTTTATCAATCTCTTCATTATATTTGGCTTTATATATTTTTAAAGTATTTCCTCCTTAATCTAAGATTGGGAAAATAAGATATTCCACATTTTCTTCTAAACAGTTAAAGTTCTGCATTTCATATTGACATGGCTAAGAATACACTTAAAAATGATTATTGCTTTTTTAAGAGACAGGTCTTGCTCTGTCACCCAGGCTGGAGTGCTGTTATGCAATTATAGCTTACTGCAGCCTTGAACTCCTGGGCTCAAGCAATCTTCTCACCCCAGCCTCCTGAGTAGGTAGGACTACAGGCACCTGCTGCCAAGTCTGGCTAATTTTTTTTTTTTTTTGTAGAGACTGGGTCTCATTACATTGCCCAGGCTAGAAGTGACTGTTTATATACTGACATGAGACAGACATTAGTATAATTTTTTTCCATAGGTGTAACAAAATAATTATTAATTCAGCAGTCCACATTTACCCCAATGTACTTCAATTCTATCTCTGAAACACATTATTTCTATATATACATTAGTAGTCTGTTTCTGGGCTATGTATTTAATTATAAATAAGTCTAAGTACTAATCTATTTGCCTATCCCAGTGGTTCTCAACCAGGATTTGGCAATATCTATAGAGACAGTTTTGGCTGTCACACTGGGTTGTGGGGGTACAAGGTGCTACTGGCATCTAATGGGTAGGGGATAGGGATACTGCTAAAAATCTTACAGTGCACAGGAGAGCCCCCACCCCCATATAAAGAATTATACTTTCCAAAATGTCAATATTGCCACTGTGGAGAAATCTCAGTCTATTCCTATGACAGTTATAATTAAGTTGGCTTTGTGTTTGCACTTCATAGGTTTTGTGAGGTCTTTTACAGCACCAAAAATAGCTAGGTATCTATTCTTTTTAAGAACTTTATTGAGACCAGACGTGGTGACTCTCACCTGTAATCTCAGCACTTTGGAAGGCCAAGGCAGGTGGATCACCTGAGAGGGGGAGTTCAAGACCAGCCGGACCAACAAGGAGAAACTTCATCTCTATTAAAAACACAAATTAGCTGGGTGTAGTGACACATGCCTGTAATCCCAGCTACTTGGGAGGCTGAGTCAGGAGAATCGCTTGAACCCAGGAGGCATAAGTTTAGGTAAGCCGTACGGTGCCACTGCATTCCAGCCTGGGCAACAAGAGCAAAACTCTCTCAAAAAAAAAAAGAAAAGAAAAGAACTTTATTGAATGGCAAGACCTATTACAATGGACAGATCTATATCAGTACATATTCAGATTTTAAGTTTGTTGCTTTGCTATTTCCAGTAATGCTTGCCCATAATTCTTTTGCACTACTATATCTCTAGGCCAATTCCCTAGAATTGAAATTGTGAATCAAAAGTTGTATAAGCCTGGCAGGGTGGCATGCACCTGTAGTCCCAGCTACTTGGGAGGCTAAGGCAGGAGAATCTCTTGAACCTGGGAGGTGGAGGTTGCAGAGAGAAGAGATCATGCCACTGCACTCCAGCCTGGGCAACAAAGCAAAACTGTTTCAAAAAAAAAAAAAAAAATAGGCTGGGTGGCTCATGCCTGTAATCCCAGCACTTTGGGAGGCTGAGGCAGGTGAATCACAAGGTCAGGAGTTCCAGAGCAGCCTGACCAACTGTTGAAACCCTGTCTCTACTAAAAATACAAAAATTAGCTAAGCGTGGTGGTGCATGCCTATAATCCCAGCTACTCAGCAGGCTGAGGTAGGAGAATCCCTTGACCCAGGAGGTGGAGGTTGCAGTGAACTGAGATCGTGCCACTGTACTCCAGCCTGGGTGACAGAGTGAGACTCCAATCTCAAAAAAAAAAAAAAAAAAGTCAGTTGTAAATGACAGTTGATAGTGCCTAATGGTTTTACACAGAACAGTCTTCCAAAATTGTATAAATTTACCTATTCCAAAATGTTAATTACCTTTGCCAAACTAATCAAACTTTGAACTCTTCATCAATCTGATAAATAAATTTTGTTTTGACTTTTTTTTTCTTTTTTTGAGACAGAGTCTCACCCTGTTGCCCAGGCTGAAGTAGAGTGGCACGATCCCAGCTCACTGCAACCTTTGCCTCCCAGGTTCAAGTGATTCTCTTGCCTCAGCCTCCTGAGTAGCTGAGCTTACAGGCGCACACCACCATGCCTAGATAATTTTTGTATTTTTAATAGAGACAGGGTTTCACAATGTTGGCTGCTCTAGAACTCCTGACCTTGTAATCCACCCACCTTCGCCTGCCAAAGTGCTGGAATTACAGGCGTGAGCCACGGTATCATGCCTTGATTTTTTTTTTTTTTTTTTTTGAGACAGTCTTTCTCTGTTGCCCAGGCTGGAGTGCAGTGGTACGATCTTGGCTCACTGCAAAACTCCACCTCCCAAGTTCAATTGATTTTTGTGCCTGAGCCTCCAGAGTAGCTGGGACGGGGTGGGGGGCAGGGGGAAGAGCACCACTGCACCTGGCTAATTTTTGTATTTTTTGGTAGAGGCAGGTTTCACCATTTGGCCAGGCTGGTATCAAACTCCTGGCCTCAAGCAATCTACCCACCTCAGCCTCCCAAAGTGCTGGGATCACAGGCGTGAGCCACCGTGCCTGATCTTGACTGTATTCAATTATAAATAAGGCTAATATTTTTTTTCCATAAAATCAAGCTTCTGTAGGAAGAGCTAAATACTTTTACTTATTGAACATTGTTTATTGTGAATAGTTTGTCTTAGACATTTTCCTAAGGGAGTGTAAGTTTTTTTCTTTTTCTTTTTAGACAGGTGGAGTGCAGTGGCGAGATCTTAGCTCACTGCAACCTCCGACTCCCTGATTCAAGCGATTCTCCTGCCTCAGCCTCCCTGGCAGGGTAAAAATCTTACTAGAAAGTGAATCGCATATGATGCAAATACTTTCTCTCAGTTTGTAATTTAAGGATTTTTAAGTTTTGCCATTAAAAAGCTTTTCATTTTTATGTAATCAAATATATCAGATTTCTCCTTGTAACTTCTGAGTTTTCTGTTATGTTTAAAGCCTTTTTCCACCTCAATGAATTATCACCATATGAGTAATACTATTAAAACAAACTCCTAGGCTTGCATTTTCTGCTTTGGATTTAAATTTGCTAACTCAGCATTATGCTACTCTGGGTTGAGTTTCATTTAGCATTTAACATTCCTTAAGATACAGCTTTTATGTTCTCCAATATTCTATATATTGTCATAGAATTTTATTTGGATCTCCAAAATGAGTTGCTTTATCTTCTGACCTGTTGAAATCTCAAATTAGTTTGATATCAAATGAAGGTACAGTTGTAGCACCGTTTTGTAGTTAGAGGGGAGTAAATACTTCTACCACCACACATAAAACTGGTAATGCTTTTTACTTAGAGATAGATTCCCATTTTTACACATTAATTTAAAAAAAAAGGTGAGGCTGACAAGTATTAAGACTTATACAGAGTAGTACTGAAAAGTCTACAACTGTAAAGAAACTAACAAGACAGAACAATTAATTTCAACTATCCACTGGCATCTTTTACACACAAACCTGTGTCTTTCAGTAACATGTAATTTTTAAGTACCAAAACCATTTTTTTTCATTCTTATCATCCTTACAAATGTGAAAAATTAGCATAATTACATGACACAATATAAAATATCATAAGATGATAGATTTGGAAAATATTTCCTATTTCTCGAAAGTCTGATCCAGAGATTCTGGGATGAAATTTTTCAAACAAACAGCACCAATATTTTGCTGATGATTTCAAAAGACCAAAATATCTAACAAAATATGTATTAAATGAAGCATTAAAATAGTTCTATTGTCTTTAACACCCTATGAAACAGGTATCATCATTGTTCAAGTTATAAAAGGTAAAAATAAAAAACCAAAGCACTGAGCAGTCACTTTAAGTCATGTTCTTTAAATTGTAACACAAACTTCCACAATTTATTACAAAAGATGCATGGTGAGTAGAAGGAAAATACCAGATTACCTTGTTCAATGTTCTTAAACTACAAATTATTTAATTAAGGAAAATACTTTTCTTTGAGGCTGCCTAGCCTGAAGCTCAGCAGAGTGCTGCAGTAAAGCACAGGGCCCCAAAGGGATTCTCAGAGAATCTGCAGTTATCATGCTGTAAGAATATTCAAAGCAATCGCTACACTATTTCTGGGATGAATATGCAGAATCCTCTCAAACAGAGCCCAATTTTTAACACAAATAATGGTGGTGGTATACGTTAGCAGTGGCAAGAAGGAATGGCTGGAATTAGGCGGGTAACTGAAGCAGCTTGTGCTGAAGAACATCATCACATTTGGTTTAGTTAAAATTAAGGTTTAAGATCTAGCATATGATCATTACTACAGCGTTCTGTATCTGGATTGCAGCTGTTAGGGAGGAAAGTAAACCATACTTAATGTCAAAAGATTTTTAAGCCCAGGCTCTGGCAACCACTTACCGGCTGCCTACCAAGAGCAAAACATTTAACCTCTATGACCCTGTTTCCTGGTTTGTAAAATGAGAATAACACCACCCACCTCTGAGGGATGTTTGAAGGTCAGGTTAGATAATACCAGTGAAAATGCTTTGCAAAAGTAAAGTATGAGACAAACGTAAAATATGGCTATTTATTGCTAAGAACAAAATTCAGCCTTTATTGCCACTCCCCTTTGGTAGGAATAAAGCAACAGATGGCTTGTAATTCAGAAAGGCTTGGTAAGGACCTCACCATCAGTTTGCCCTCAGCAACACTTCAAAAGCACTAGCCTGCTTAAGACCGAGCACTAGAATTACCTCATTAACAAAATTTGCCAAGCTGCAATTACTTAAAAAATTCTTTTATGCATAAATGCATCTCACTCTGATGATGTAAGTGAAGATGGGAGAGGAAGAATGAAAGATACTTTTAACACTCCATCCATATGAAACAAAGACAATGATTTTCAGAAGTCACTTTTGCAAATGTCTCATCACTTTTTACAGTCATCTTCAATATCTTCTCGTTTATTAATGGAAAATTTTAGGACTCGATTTAAGCATTACCACTTTCATGAGAATTTCTGGTAATGGTTTCAAGGTCTGACATTTGAAACCCTGTCTCCTTCGCTTGGATGTCATTTACTACAGACAATTCACGATCCTGTGGACCCTAGGATGCAGCAGAAGTGGCAACATAAAAGTACTCTACATTTTGTAATAAAGGGAAACTGAGGCCCACGCCTTGGCACAGGTCCAAGGTCACACACGACGAGACTGACAGTAGAGTTGTTTTTAAAAGGCTGTCGCATAGGACGCAGTAAACCAGTACTCATTTCCCACGACAAACAACGGGCAAAGAGCCGCATGCTCACACAACCTTGCTTCCCTGCCTCACTCGGGTGCAACACTGAGTCCTCGCTAGGGGGACTGCTCCGCTGTCAACTCAGACAAATATCATTTCCTTCCCCCCTCCCACCACGTAAAGACGACCCTTTGAAGGATGAAGCCTTAGTTCTCAAAATCACACACTCGACCCCATGGCCTCTGAGCGCCAGCCCGCTCCCCGGAGCACGTCTCGGCCCGCAGAGCCGTCCCGGGACGCAGGGTACCCTGTTGCCTTACCAAGGAGCCGGAGAAAGATCTGGAGCACGATGCAGAACCGGCTTTGGCTGGAATCGGGGTAGGAGTTGAAGATGGCGTCGATGATGTAAAGGCAGGGCACCCGGAGCGCCACTTCGAGCGCCGCCCAGACCTGCTGATGGGCCATCCGCACCTGCTGCTGCGGGGGCCCCACCGCCGCCATGAGCCGCTGCCACACCGGGGCTGGGCGGGCCGGGTAGAGCCGCGGGCCGCGGCCGGGGGCGGGAGCTAAGGCGGGCAACTCCGCCCCCGCTCTCCTTCCTCTAGTGTCTCTCTCACGGCCCGCCCCGCCGCCCGCTCGCGTCCCTCGAGCTGGAGCAGGCGGCGGAGGCGGCGTGGCTGAGAAGGCGACGGCGGCTCCCCAGCAGGTCTCTGGGTGTCGGTGTTTCCGGCTGGCTAAGGTCTGACTCCTCCCTCCACCACCTCCCCCGCCCGCGGAGCCACCATCTTGACCTCGCCCGCCGGCCTCTGCCGTTGCTGCTGTGACGAGGCCCGTCGGCTGCGCCCGCGGTCACGCGAACCGCAGAGTCCACGCCCGCTGCCTGCGTCATAATCCAGCCCTAGGAACGCTCACCATGTCGTCAGCACGCAGGGTTGCCATGGTTTCCACCCACCTCCGCGGCTTGCTCAGGCGTCTCCCCGTGGCGCATGCGCTTTTCGGTAGCCGCACTTTCCCGCCTCAGGGTTAGAGCTTCACCCACGCAGAGTCGGCTTAGCAAGGTAGTTGGTGCTTCCGCTGGGCAAAATTATTAGTCGTTTTATTAGAGCCCATTAAACGTTGCGTAAACATGGTTCAGAGCTGCGTGGGAGGAGAAAAGCCAAAGGATGCCGCCCTCTCGACCTGCTCCACCCTCCCTGGAGGCCGGGTCTGAAAGCCGACGCCAGGAGAAATCCCGTGAAGGCCGCCCGGGATCCTGGTAGAGGCGGCGCTGTGTGCCTTTATGGAGCGCTTGCTGTGTGTGGCACTGGGCTGGGTGTAGTGGGCGCTGCGAAGAGAAACGTCCCTCCCATCCCTTTGCACATCACCGTTACCACCTCCTGCCCAGATGGACAGAAGTGAGTACATTCATCGGCCGCGTTTTACCAATGGCAAGGAGTTAGTGACTGAAGGGCAAGAACCTAGGGTTTGCTGTCTTCGATTTCTCATCTTTGAGGTAAGTACACCTGGACAGTTCCTTCCTTCCTGCCCAGGGCTCATGCTTTCTTGCCTATCCATGTAATTAATATGATCTGGCTATCTTTATCTTTGTTCGAAAACTTCAGCAGCAAACGATCGCGTAAGTTAGGGCTGAGGCTGCGCTATAGACCTAGCTATCCTAGCTTAAGAGGGATAAAATAGGAAGCAGGAAGCCTGGCTCACCTGAGCTCCCAGCTCAAGTGCATTCTGCAATCCAGTTTATATCAGGTCTCCGTGTGGGTGGTTATCCTTTATCAAGATCCCCCCCCCAAGGGGAGGAGGATTGTTAGTCACATTATCAAACTCTTCTCCAGCCTCTTTCTCTGCTTAGAGGTATGTGTAATGTGTAATAGAAAGATCGAACCCCACCCCAAAATCCTTATTTCTACTCTTGTTTTTAACCTTCTGTTCTTATCCTCTACCCTACTCCCTAATAATGACCGCCATTTATCTACTGCTTAATGGATACTAGGCACTGTGCTAAGGGTTTTATATTTTATTTCAATCCTTTCATCGGCTTTATTTTGATAGTTTTACAGAGGAGGAAACTGAGACTTAGATAAGTTACAAGATGACAGGGTGACTACCTTGTTCAGTTAGTAGTCAGCAACTAGTATATCCAAAGATAAGTCAAAACTAAGTTAAACCCAGGGCTACCTGAAGCTCACAGCTTCAGGCATCTTTGATTTCTTCCTTTCACTCACAGCCAATTTTGCAACTAAATTGTATCCATTCTGTCTGCACCTTGTACTGGGCTCGTTTCTATTGTCACTGTCTTTGTCCTAACTCAAGATCCTCTGTGGCTTTCTGCATTTATTGCATAAACTCATTATGATTGCCACTATTTCTAATCCAGCCGGTGCACTGCCAGGTTAATTTCCCCAAACTGCATGCCTGGGGAATAACCTTGTGGTTATGACGAAATTCCCAAAGGAAAGCAAACTTGGCAAGGTGCAAAGACTATGAAGACTTAGAACTTCAGAGATCTATGGAGATCTTCAGAGATATAAATTAGCTAGTCAACCTATCTATTCTGCCCTGATTACACTGTAAAGCAAAAGGAGAGAGGCCCTTATGGAGAAAAAGATCCAGAAGGACTCATCTAAACCACAAGTTGCGTAGAGGAGATAGGTAAGTTCTATTATATTATGTTCATGGAAAGTAAGTTGATGGGCTTTCCTCTAATTTTTATTTTAAAATAAATGTAAATATGAAATAAAATTATTTGTAATTAACAAATGTTTCAGTCTTTATTAATGTTTTAACTGTCTCTGATCTTAATTTGATGTATACATTTTATTAGTATAAGAGTTTCTGAGACTAAGTTCCGTCTTGGGCCAAGGTGGTGGCAGAGTTTTTCTTATCTTTTTCACACAGCTTCTCCAAGCAGGCTCTCTGCCAAGCTTTTCCAACCTACCTTATTTTGTTATTGTTGTGTTCTGTTTTGTTTTAGGTTTTTAACAGCCTGAAGCCATGGTTTTTAGTTTCTGTCTCTAGTGATAAATGGAAAAGAGGATGAGGAAGGGTATTTACTGGCCCAACCAGAAACGGAAACTAAGAACCCGTAACTGTTTTCTCTCCCTTGGACACCCCTGTGTGAGCTCTCTTTCTCTGTCTATAAAATGAAGGTTTCAATAAGATCTTGGCAAGTGTGTTAAAATGCTATGTTAAAACAAAATGTATAGTAATGAGGTAATTTTTAAGATGCTCAGAAATTTTTAAGATAAAAGATGTTTCCAGCTGGGTGTGGTGGCTCATGTCTGAAATCCCAGCACTTTGGGAGGCGGAGGAGGGTGGGTCGCTTGAGCCCAGAAGTTCAAGTTTGTAGTAATGTCACAGCAGTGATAGGAAATTAATATAACCACATACTCTCACTCCCAGTGAACCATGTGGGGAGTTTGTGCTTCTCATCCCCACAACTTTGTGAGTCTAGAAGTCCTTATTCCCAAGACAGGAACTTTTTCATCAAGAGACACAATAATTCTTTAAACTTCAAGATGGAAGATTCAATATTGTAAATATGTTGACCTATAGATTTTATGTAATCTCAATTAAAAAAAAAATCTCAGTAGGTTCTTTTTTCCAAAAATAAAAAAAACTGATTTTAAAATTCCTAAGCAATGGGAAAAAACAAAGTTGAAGGATTTATACTGTGAGACATCAGGACCTATTCCAAGCTGTATTAAAGAAGAAAAGATAGTATTGGTGCATGGATAGAAAAACTGACCCATGGAACAGAACAGAAAGTCTAGAAAAACTCCACATGTATAGGATCACTTGATTCATTAGAAAAGTGACACTACAGTGCAGAGGGAAACGGATGACAAAAAGCCAACAGCATAACAGGACTCTGGATACTGCTTAACAGGACTCTAGATACTGCATATCGCTTAATAGTGAAACATGCTGGAAGCATTCTCCCTAAAGTTAGGAGCAAGGCAGGGTTGCTCACTGTTGCCACTGTTATTTAACATTGTATTAGAGGTGGGGAGTGGGAATAAGGCAAGCTAAAATGCTTTCCTGTTTACCAAGATTTAGTTGTTTTGCTCAAATAAAGGCACCTCAGATTGTGAGCTTTTAGTTAAATTCTAGAGTTCTGAAAAAGTTGACTTTGACCATTTTTGCCCGTGTTGTCATTGCTTTTGTAGAGGAGCCAGTATGTGGAGATCTTTACCCTGCTGTTTTAGAAGTTGTCCATTTTATTTGATATTGGGGAGTTTCAAGAGACCACTGTCCCTTGAGTGTAAAATACAGGTATATTCCTTCCTGCCATCATCGTGTAGCAATAACACTACTTCCTCCTGATGAATGAATTCAGTTACCCCAGCCAACATGGTGACTCTTCCTTACCTGCTGGTCTTCTGGCACAGGGACCCTGAAGTGACTGGGAAACCTCAGCAACTTAAAACTTGAAGGATTTGTTATTGTGTCTCTTGATGAAAAAGTCTTGGGAATCAGGACTTCTAGACTCACAAATTCCCCACATGGCTTACTGGGAGTGAGAGTATGTGGTTATATTAATTTCCTACCATTCCCATGACATTACTACAAACTTAGTGGTTTCAAACAACACAAATTTATTTTCTTATAGTTCTGGAAGCCTAAAATCAAGGTGTCAACAGGACTGTTTTTCCTGAAGTCTTCAAGAAAAAGTCTGTTTCCTTGCCTTTTTCAATTTCTAGAGGCTGCCTACATTTCAATAGCTCATGGCCCCTTCCTCACATCACTCCATCCTCCTGCTTAAGTCATCACATCTACTAAGCAAAACCGCCTCTCCCTCGCAAGAGTCTTTCTGATTATATTGGATCTGTTGGATAGTCCAAGATAATCTCTGAATCTTGAGATCCTTTTACCATGAAGGTAACATATTCATAGAATCCAGTTATTAGAATATGGTCATATTTGGGGGCCATTACTCAGCCTGCTACTCATTGAGAATTCTATTTGTGTCCTTTCATTCCCTGTTGCTATTCACTCAGGGTGGTTGGCAAAATATTACAGAAAATACTTAGGGAAAGTTAGAGATTATAGTCTCAAACCTTTTAGAAGGCCAAAGGGTTTTATTGAGGCAGGTTGAAGGCAGCCATCTCTTTCCTATGCTACTCAAAGGCCTTACCCCACAACCATTTGTCCCTACTCTGTTTACTCATGTTAATTTTGTGCTGGGTAGAGGATCAAAGGAGAATTACCTAGTAATAGTATTTACTCTGGGCCCCAGAACCAAAAGCTTTTACCTGTGGTAAAACTACTCTTTTAACCATGTTAATTACACACAAGTGTGTTAACTTTGTTGTAAAATCTTTTTTTTTTTTTTTTTTTGAGATGGAGTTTTGTTACTGTTGCCCAGGCTAGAGTGCAGTGGTGCCATCTCAGCTCACTGCAACCTCTGCCTCCTGGGTTCAGGCAATTCTTCTGCCTCAGCCTCCTAAGTAGCTGGAATTAGAAGCATGTGCCACTATGCCCATCTAATTTTTTATTTTTAGTAAAGACGGGGTTTCACCATATTGGTCAGGCTGGTCTTGAACTCCCAACCTCAGGTGATCCACCTGCCTCGGCCTCCCAAAGTGCTGGGATTACAGGTGTGAGCTTCCATGCCCAGCCCTGTTGTAAAAGCTTGAGAGAATAAATGTGTCGACAGACAGAGGGTCTGGGTCGATTGGTTGCATTTCGCCCTCTGAAAGCAGCCAACAGCCATCGCTAGCCCACAAACACTGTAATAGTGTGAGTGCATTCATTCATCTGTCATTGAGTCAGGGTCTGCATGTCAGACTTCTGCAAGTGGTGACTCACGTCTCAGTTCCCAAACATGCATGTTATATGTGTATGAGACACAGTACCATACAATGAGTGTTAATTTAGTGTATATGCTGTACCCTGGTGAACAAGGCCATTCCATCTTCACAGGCTATTATCTTGAAGCTTTTCCTTCAGTTTCACCTTCTAAAGTGTTTCCATCATTCCATCAAGCCTGCATTTTCTAGGTAGTAGAGTATGTGATAGGACCAGTAGATCCCACGGTTATGTGCCTGCTGATACACCTCCTTTGCTGTAAAGTGGGTCCCTAAATCAAAGGCAATATTAGGATACATGTTGATGGATCAAAAACCTGTAAACCTTTGAATAGTAGAGCTGACCAACAACTTACAGGCAAGGAGGTCAAACTCATACATGGAGATGGGCAGTTTCTAGTCAAGGAGACTCACTGCCCATTCTAGGATGGAAGGAATCCAGCATAAATCAGCTTCCTGCCAATTAGCTGTTTGGTATCCTTGAGGGTTAATGCCGTATCAGGAACTTAGTGTTTAACATTGGGGAGTGACTATTTGATAAGTGGAAGCTATCTGTTTGCCTCTTGCTCACTTGCGTTCCTGCAAGATGACTACTTTGTCATGAGCTCCTATGCCATTCCTAGGGGTGGGGAGAGGGGACTGTGGAGCTGTTGGCTGCAGCTGCTGAAGTTAACTGGCTAAATCTA